AGAGGGAGGGGGGGGGGGGGCCTTGACACGCAATGATTCAGCTATTATGATGACGATGACGGGAGGGAGGACTACGGATGGCTGATTCCGGCGCTTGGAAAGTCAAAGCGACAGAGTCAAGAGTCAGAAAGGGAGAATAAAGTGCTTCGTCATAATCAGAGGGGAAAAGAGCTGTTGGATGGCGGCTAAGTTTCTCGTGATAGAGATCCTTGTCCTGGAGGCGTTTGAATGTCGCCCGTTTCATAACCGTAAGAATATATTAGTACCTAGGCAATAGAGCAAATGTTTGTTGGCTGTCCTCAGAAACGAAAACGAATACATACATACACCAGGGACAAGACATGGAAAGATAAGGTAGAGAAGGCATCACGCGATGAGAAAGAGGTCCAGATCTCAAAGATGGGCTAATAGAGACTGATTTGACATGCCACTCACTACATCCAAGAAGAATCTCACAGGTTCAGCTAGAGACTCGCGCTCGGTGACACAAGCAGAAGCAGAAGATTACCAGCCGAGGCTGATTCGTTCCACGTACAGTATCCGTCCGTACCTTGCAATCAAGAACCCGTCTCACAACGCTGCAGTACTTGTCAAACAAACAATCAATGTCTTGTCTCGGTAACTAATTGGAAATAGAAGAAGAAGAAGAGAGACGCCGGCGGCCGGGGTACAGATACGAGTCGCAACGAGACAACAAAAGAAGCAACTCATGAGAGAAGAGTCTCGATTGATTGGATTGCATCGGATCGGATCGACCGACAGTTTGTTTGCGAGATTGGTTGGGTTGACTTGACTACGAGAATAGAAAAGTTTGCGTTTGAATACGAACTGAAACAGAGTAACAGATCAGATCTCAAGAGAGAAAACAAAACAATCAGGCATTGTATGTACCTATGTATGTATGTACGGATACTGTTTGACTCAGAAGAAGAATGATGATTGATGAATGAATGATCGAATGAGAGAACAAAGCCAACATCCATTAATGGCCAACCCAACCCAACAAGACGAGATGAGACAAAAAGGTTAATTACGGTGCCTTGCATAAAGTGGATGCATGAGGCGTCATAATGAGAAAAGAGACAAATGATAAAAACAGATTCACTCAGTCAGTGAGAAAAAGAAAAAGAAAAGAATAACTGAGACAGGAAGAGCAATATTCCAGACCAACACCAGAAGCAACGGCAAGAACAGACATTACTGTTTCTTTTTTCTTTTCTTCTTTCTTCTCTTAGTCTGCTCCATGAATAATGAGTGAGCTAAAAACTCAGCTAATATGGTACGTAGGTACAGTAGAGATGGATGCTAAAAAAGAATTGAGTCCAAGTCGACTACCTAACCCCTGAACATGATAAATAGGCTAATGCAAGATGACATTGACAGCTTCCTCCTTTAGGCTGGGGTACAGAACCTTCCCTCATCCCAAGTCTGCGTCATGTACCGGTACGTACCGACTGTACATGAGCCTTTGCCGTCTTGGTCATGGTGAAACCGGGCTAATGCAGCCTGGCTCCCGGGACCGAAGCGTTGGGAAGGTGAGGTGGAGAGTGGGTTTTCTTCAGGCAGGTGCAGAAAAGAAGAAGCCGAAGCGAAAGGAAGGTGCAAGATGCAACGGCCTCGACGGGGGGAAGGAGGGAGGGTGTGAGACGAAGGAAAAATACGAGAAGAAAAAAAGGAAGGAAAGAAAAATTGGAAGCCCCAACTGTGCATATTGATTAATCAAAGAGGCGAGACGGGAATCTTGCATGGACATGGAATATCGACAAGGAAGGAGCATGAGTTGGAACAAGGACAGGGATAGGTCAAGGACAGGGGTCAGCGAGGCGTGTCTCTAACATTCACACAGTACAGTACACAAGTATCCAAGTATCCAATCCATATCCATATTTACAGCACCCTGACCTCACCTCATGCTCGGTGATGGTATCAATAAAGTGGATACAATCAAAGCGTTTGTCTTGGTTTGTTGTTTCTTCTGCGACTTTGGAAAGGATGAGGCTGTAACTAACTATTCCAACTCAAAGGTCAAGGGCAGCGGAAAGAAGCAAAAATCAGTAACAAAAAAAAAAGGACTAGGGATACAATACGACGAAAACTAGTCCTCCTAGTCAAGACACGATTGAGTTAATGATCGTGATGGTCTACCCAAAAACCATCACTCGGCATGTGCTTCCGTCACAACCGCATTGGGTACTAAGACAGCCACTTCAATATCTTAACTTCAACAATTAAGTAGCCAGGTAAACATGATGCAAGACACCCAAGTACCAAGTACCTATATTCGCATCCAATATGATATAGAACATCCATTATCATCAGCCTTGCCTTGCGTTACAGCGAGTATCATCCTCAACGGAATACCGCCCCGATATACCTTCTCCAAACCCAACACGCACCAAAAACAAAAAACAACCGTTTCACAACGAGGCTGAAAGACCGAGAAAATTTTCTGCTTTCTCTCTACCGAACCCAGCAACTTGGTAACATCCAAGACCAGGCTGCAACGTCGCAGCACTAAGCGCAAACACCAAGAGCTGAGACCACGATATTCTCCAACCGGGAATTTGCTGGCAAAGTTTCCTAGTACTTACTGTACATACTACATATCAACCAATAGCGAAAGGGGGCTCGTGCGGGAAGAAGAAAGAGAAAACTTCTTTTTCTGCTTCTATGGAGACATGTTGGATCGAGGCTACAGTATCGCCAGAAGTGGACAGGGCCAAAGTTGACAGATCGTCATCTCGGCATTGTTTTTGTCTTCTTCTCCCGTTACATGCTGTTCAAACAAACCCATACATATCCATGCTTATATCCTTGCCCATGCTATCCGGTATGAAATCCATGTCCGACCAAAGAAGAAGAAAAGTCAAACAAAATGGTTCCTGTGACTGAGCGTTTCTTTCAGCCTGTCTTCTTCTCAACCCTTGTTCTTCTACCGTTCGCCTACCTACCTAGACAGTTCGTCTCTTCCAGGAGCTCAACAGCATGGATACGGTCATGTGTCTCTCGGAACCAGATACCCTTGCTTGCCGTCCCAGCCACCCGGGACTTATTGATGTACAGTGCAGTACCGATCCATTCTGTCGGTCCTGATTCTGACGGGGCTGAGCTTTGGTTTGGCTTTGGCTTTGGCTTTGGCTTTGGCTTTGATCATGGTCAATCTCTCTTGTACGGGAGCTGGGGTTGTCATTCCCCGTGCCCTTCGGCGAGTGCCGTACTCTAGAAGGGTCCAAGCCTCAAGCCTCAAGGGATGATGATATCGCTTGAGCCTCAGGTGGCAATGACAGGTGTTCCTCGCATGCTAAACCGCAATGGTCGACCGGTGGGAATCTCAATATGCTTGTCTCACTTCAGGCTCTCAGGGTTCAAAACGGTTTGATTAAGGTCTTGCAAAGAATCAGATTAGATCTTCGGTCAAATGTTTCTGCGTATGCCTGGTTCAGCGAGTAAGTCAGAGAGATTGCAAATGTTCTTATTATTACAAAACATAAGTTGCATTGGATGCAAAGAACATATAACATTTGAGAAGCAGTCACTTAAACATTTGTGCATATCAAACATCGCTTAGCATAATAATAGTTAATGCTGAGTCGCATCTTTGTTGCGGCTCTTTAGCAACAGAAATAGTTCTTTATCTATATCACTGTGAATAAAACACTTTCCAATAGCCCCGGCACTTGGACAAATGGCCATAGAGAGGCATCGAATTTTCACCCACTGACTGGGTATGACTCTGTATCGATTACTTTCTACATGCTGTCTTAGATCTAATATAGTCCACCTATCTGGATTACAGCTCAGGATAAACATCACTGCAACTATTAGCATACCTAGGTTGAACCCACAGATGAATGAATCAACTCACATTCGCCTCTGAAGAGGCATCTCCCTCCTAACCTTCTCCAAATGCTCAAGGTCAATATCAACAAACCCTATTTCACCCTCCGCGCCATCCTCAGCAGTCCCCTGAGGCTCTCCCTCTTTCACGCCCTGCAACTTCAGGACTACATTCCCCCATGGATCAGCGACAATACTCTGTCCCCAACTAGCTCGCTTCTCGTTATGTCGTCCAACTTGTGCTGCTGCAATTACATAGCTCTGTGTCTCAATGGCCCTGGATCGGAGAAGAGTCTCCCAGTGTGCTGCACCTGTTCGAAGGGTGAATGCACTTGGGTATGTGATGATCTGCGCTGGCTTGTTCTTCCATGCGCTGTGAGGTCCTGGCTGTGCGAGTGCCAATCCTGCCTCGGGGAATCGCAAGTCAAAGCAGATGAGGCTCCCGATGCGGCCTATGGGGGAGTCAAACGGTGCTGTCAGGCTTATTCCAGGCTGCACTGTTGCACTCTCCTTTAGACTGCCATAGTCAAACACATGGAGCTTATCATATGTTGTTGCGTCGTTGATATCTCCGTTGGCAGTGATGTACAACGCACGGTTGAGAATCCTCTTTGACTGGTCTTGGCCCTCTTCACGATGGTGAATACCCACATGAATAGCGACGCTGTGCTCACGAGCTGCCTCCTGGAGACCCTTCACGAAGGGAGATGTCGACTGTGGCTCTGCAAGTTGCAGCGATGTCTGTCCATCTGGGGCGATATAGTCTGAAGCCTCGGGGAGGAAGAGTACCTAGCATGGCTGCATGTAAGTATACCGTGTGCGCAAGATCAGAAGCCACCCGAAGAGAAGTATCGCTGTTTTGGGTATTTAATGAGACATATTCCAAGCGACGTAAAGAGGTCTTGCAGCTTGGGCCCTAGGGCATGTCTCACGGTTCCACGAACCGACTGCCCCCTTCGAATCCAGATCATGTGTCTCCTTACGACAACTGACAAGTCGAATCGCTAGTGTCCCATCTCGATCGAGGGATGTAGAGATTACTCGAGGCCAGACACTCTTGCATGCCCAACAAGACCCAACGAGATTCAGGTTCAACTTACTTTTGCTTGACCCCGCGCCGCACTCGCCACCAACTTGACACATTGTTCCAGATTACCCTTGATCGACGCCGTTGAGCAGATCTGGCCGATTGCCTAGGCCCATGCCGTTAGATACGATAGTCCATACCGGCTCGAAGCAAGGGATCTCTGGATAGAGCAAGACTAGACTGAGGAACTCCGTGAACCAACCGCGATTGCCATGATGATCGCCTCCCGTATCGCCAAGTGCACGAATCCTCCCGAACGGGTACGAGATCTAGTTGTTGGGTGCTTAATTAGTCTCCCTCTCTCCCTTGTGGCTGTGACTGAATGGGGAAGTACTTGGAGACTTTGAGGTGAGGGCGTGCTTGTCTTGAACTCAACAGAATGTGGCGTTGTCTATGTTCCTTTGTAACAGGTCGATCTGGACCCTTTTTCAAGAATCAATTAAATTGTAGAGACAAAAAAGAATTGAACTCTTTTTGATTGTTAATGATTCAAGGGAGGGGAAATGGCGATTCTGCCCGCAATAGTTGTGAGTCCCACTTTTCTAAGCACATCAGACAGACGAAGCATTTGTAATTGACTCTCAATAAGACTTAAGAAGAGGATGCCACAATAAATCTAACAATGAATCCCCTCAACTTGCACTAAATTATCTAAGTTTTTTTTTTTATCACTTAGGTCTGGGTCTTAAAAGTTTTCTTGTCTTCCCTTGCTTACCTATCTATCGCATGGAAAGGTCAAAGAGCCATTTCTCCCTTGCTACAACATAGGAATGTTTCCGTCAAACAAAAGTCTCATCACGAGCTCAACTTAAAGTTCAAGTTCAAGTTCAGGTCAGGCCAGGTTCATAGGGGGTCTATTCTTTCATCACTCCCTAGAAGACCCTTGTCCCTTCACCTCTCTTCCCAAACTATAGCCCTTTTCGCTGAGCTCCAAAGCTTCAGAAAAGTAGGGTGAAAATGGCTGAAAGAAAAGCCCAAGAAATACATGGCGCACCCATCTTCCTACGGTGTACGCCTCAACAGCATCGTCGAATTCCCTCAGTCTCAAAAGAATCCCCAATCTTCATGCCGTCAAAAACTACCCTCTCCCATTCATTTCCTATACTGCATGCCAGAATGAAGAAAAAAAGGACTGCCTGTCCCCAAAGTCATGCCTTTAGTAAGAAAAAACATAAAACGCCGTGCTAAGTAATATCAAGCCATGCACGCTGCGCAGGGTATCTTCTTCCACTAGCTGATCATCCCTAGCCCTGGCCGTGTGTCACGAAATCTCATCTCACATCTTCCCTATCCCATTACCTCGCCGCATTTTGATAGCTATAGTTTGTTATGATGTGCTGTGCTGTGCTGTGCTGTGTTTATTTGGGGTTCGATGCGTCCAGGTAAAGGTACGCCTTTTGAAGCGCCTTGCCTTCTCTTCCGTCCCTTTCTAATACTGAAACCCAATCGCGAAGCTGGATATTCCGCCCCTTTTCTTTGTCCTCTCTCCACGTGCCAAGTCGGTTGCGGCCCTCGGTAGTCATGGCCATGTTTGCAGGTGCCGGCGTCGCTCCCAGCCCTCCGGGTCCTTTTCCGGCACCCGCAACGTTTCTGGTCGGCGTGCTGGCTCCGCTGCCTCGAGTCATCCAGTCGTATGTCTTGCCAGCCTTCTTTTTACCAAACAGTCCGCTCTTACCCCCGAAGCCAGCAAAGAGGCTACTCGTGGTGTTTTGGCTCTGATGACTGTCAATTTCAGCAGCCTTCATCTGCTGGTTCTTCTTCATCTCCTTCTTCGTCATTGCTTTTGGAGCTTCTGGCGCTACAGAACCAGGAGTGCCAGGCGCCACGCTACCAGCACGTGATGTCGTGGCTCCCGAGTCTGGTATACCATCCTTGCGTTTCTGGCGCTTGCGGAGTCGTGCCTCTTCCCAGTCACGCTCCTGTCTAGCAAGGTCCCGCATCGTCGTTGTCATATACGACGACACTTTAGGCAGCTTGACTGGCGGCGCACCGTTGGTCAATCCAGCTGCATCGCTGGAACCTGTAGAGTGTGAGTAAAAACTGAATACGTACTGCCGGTTCTACTTACGCTTCAGTGGATTCGTGCTATCCCCGTTCGCACTCTCCACAGGGGTCCCGTCGACACCGTTGACCGCATCCGCTGGCTTCTCAATGGGCTCGAGTGGCTCAGCATTCATAGGAGCTGCCGCTGGAGTCCATTCCTCGGGTATGTCGCCATGAGATGTCTTTTGCCTATTCGTTGCCACTACATGTGCATCTTCCACTAGTTCTCGGAGTCGCTGCTTTGTTGCAATAGACATCAATGCCAACTGATCAACTAGAAAAGCATCGTGTGGGATGTATGAGCCGGTTGTATGAACCATGGTCGAATCTGGGCCTGGAGTCACTTTAACAGTCACCTTAGGCGCAGGAAATTGTTCCGGAAGCCTCATCTTCCCCATGGTTTGACTGTTGTTCTTCAGGTCCAAGTTCAGCGCCAGGTGGTGTTCTCGTGCAATTTTGTCCGCGCGTCGATGCAGCAAAGCGACCAGCAAAAAAGGATCACTTATCTCCTGTGTCCGTTGAAGCGCAAGTCGCATCGACGACTCTGACCAAGCCCTCTCCGCTTGCTGTGCAGCAAACTGATCCTGTGGTTGATCCGGAACAGACTGGGCTGGCTGGTTTGCTGGCCCGGCACCGTAGAAGCTCGACTTTGGCCCCGGCGGCTGGTGGGCAAAGCCCGTCCGCGCTTCGTCGAAACCGGTCGCATACAGGTCGTTCATATACTGCTCCTCAGCTCGAAGGTCGATGCCAGTACCGGCAAGTGAATCTGTCACATCGTATTCGTAATCCTTTGTTGGTCGCTCTGCTGGCCTTTGGGGAGGCCCCATGACTCCGGGGCCAGGAGTTGGGGTCATTAGCTGACCAGGAGTGGGGGTCATTAGCTGACCAGGAGTGGGTACAGGAACAGGAGTCATTGTGGCATTAGTATATTGAGGTATAGACTGCTGTAGCTGCTGAGTCTGCTGAATAGGAGGTGTTGAGTTCGGTCGTACGTCAGGGAGATTAAGGCCAGGCGTTGTGTGGCCGTTGGTGTAGGGTGTGGCATACGGTTGTGGCAGAGCAGGGCTTTGCACAAATGCAGGAGATCCAGTCCCAGCAGGCGGCGTAGCTGTGGCGCCTGGAGTAGCACCTGGACTCGCGGCGTAAGGGGATGTAGCATATGGCGATTCGGGTTGCGAGGATGGCCCGTCGGTTCGAGCTCGTTTCTGCGGTGGGAGGGCGAAGCTGGACTGCGACGCGGCAGGCGAGGGTGAATGCTGCGGCGGAGAGAATGCGCGAGGCGGCACCTGCATCTGCGTCTGAGGCTGAGGCTGAGCCATGATGAGTTTTCCCGTTCGTGACTGCTTTGTCGGTCGAGAATAAAGCAAGTTGCAAGAAATGCGTGAGTTGAGTGTGTTAGCTCAGCAGGCAGATGAGCCTGTCAAATCAATCGCGACGCCTCCCATCCGACGCGCTGAATCTCGGCGGGGCACTCGGAAACGCTGTAAAAAGGTTCGGCAGGTGAGAGATCCGCTGTTGGAAAGCGCCCAGACTTCGTTTCGAGATGGAGGCGCTGGATATCGTCGTTGGGCGAAGGTGTTAACTCGCTGGGGGTTGGCTGTGAAGGAGGCAGCTTCGCCCGTAAAACGGAGGTCGCGTAGTTTTAACGTCACGTGCGCAGAGCCTCCTCCCGTAAAATACGTACGTCGGTTGGATCCCTTTCTTTTTGAAAGCCCCCTCCACTAATAATAAAGCAAGCTCCCGTCAAATAAACGCCGGCTTTTATCCGTTCATTGTTCAAAGAAACGCGTCTGCCTCGTTTTTGCCCGTGCTGCCCGCCTATTTCATTCATTCATCCATCCATTAATTAATTGATATAGTGATCCGATCTCTTTTGTTATCCCTGCGGCCAGTTGCAGTTTCATCAGCTGTGTACTGCAGCCTTCTATCAGACAGCTTATGGCCGAAGGCTTCTTCTACTAATAATCTATACAGAACCTCGACGTCGAATGTGAGCTGGACCATAGCTCGGCGGATCTACAACAATGGCATCCAAACGAAAGGCTTCCGCTATGAACGCGGCTGCGGCGGAAGAGCCAGTGGATCCTTCAGATGAGCTTATGTTTCTTTGTCTAGGAGGAGGAAACGAAGTCGGAAGGTCATGTCATATTATCCAATACAAGGGAAAGACGGTTATGGTAAGAACAGGTCGATAAGTCTATCGCATACTTGTCTAATGCCCTTCACCAGCTTGACGCCGGCCAACACCCCGCATACGATGGACTCGCTGCACTGCCCTTCTACGACGATTTCGATCTTAGCACCGTCGACGTTCTTCTCATCAGCCAGTAAGCGACCCCCTCTTTCCACTCCCGCGACGATGTACATAGGCTGGACAGGGCGAGGGACGACTTTGTGTTTTGATATTATGTGATGTGATAGAACGGATGGTACAGAACCGCCTCGTATTGCGCCGTGCTATCGCGGCCTGTATCGTGCTCGCGTGATGACGACACCCACGACTTTGCTTTCTTGTATGCCAGATCAATACAATACAGTTTGCCCGTTCCCTTACCTTACGCCCTTGCTGTTCGTCCTTGTGATGCCGTCCTGTCCCAAATTGCCAGTCGCCAATATCATCCCTAGATAGCCAGATGTCACCAGAGGATCCCAGCTAATCAGCCATAGTTTCCACATCGACCATGCAGCATCCTTACCATACGTTCTCGCAAAGACGAACTTCAGGGGTCGTGTCTTTATGACCCATCCCACAAAGGCTATCTACAAGTGGCTCATTCAGGATAGTGTTCGAGTGGGAAATACCTCATCGAATCCTACTACACAGCCAGTGTATACTGAGCAAGACCATCTAAACACATTCCCTCAGATCGAGGCCATCGATTACCACACAACTCATACTATCTCCTCCATCAGGATCACCCCTTACCCTGCCGGCCATGTTCTTGGTGCTGCCATGTTCCTTATCGAGATTGCTGGCCTCAACATCTTCTTCACAGGTGACTACTCTCGCGAACAAGATCGACATTTAGTGTCAGCAGAGGTTCCTAAGGGCGTCAAGATTGATGTTCTTATTACTGAATCCACCTACGGCATTGCTTCTCATGTCCCTCGCCTAGAGAGAGAACAGGCCCTTATGAAGTCCATCACAAGTATCCTCAACCGAGGCGGTCGTGTCCTCATGCCAGTCTTTGCCCTCGGACGAGCTCAGGAGCTGCTCCTGATTCTGGATGAGTACTGGGGCAAGCATGCTGACTTCCAGAAGTACCCCATCTACTATGCCAGTAACCTTGCCAGGAAGTGTATGCTTATCTACCAGACCTACGTTGGTGCCATGAACGACAACATCAAGCGCTTGTTCCGTGAGCGAATGGCCGAGGCAGAGGCGTCTGGCGATGGAGCTGGTAAGGGTGGACCGTGGGACTTTAAGTACATCCGTTCTCTCAAGAACTTGGACAGGTTCGACGATGTTGGCGGGTGTGTCATGCTTGCCAGTCCTGGTATGCTGCAGAATGGTGTCAGCCGCGAGCTACTAGAACGGTGGGCGCCCAGCGAGAAGAACGGTGTGATCATCACGGGTTACAGTGTCGAAGGCACAATGGCTAAGCAGATCATGCAAGAACCTGATCAGATCCAGGCAGTCATGTCTCGTAGTATGGCGGGCGCTCGTCGAATGCCCGGAGGAGATGGCGAGAAAGTCCTCATTCCTCGAAGGTGTAGCGTTCAGGAATACTCGTTCGCGGCTCATGTTGATGGCGTCGAGAACCGTGAATTTATCGAAGAAGTTGCAGCTCCTGTCGTTGTACGTCTGCCTCCTCTCTCATGCACCATCAAACATTATGCTAACGTTTGTCACAGATTCTTGTTCATGGCGAACAGCACAACATGATGCGTCTCAAATCCAAACTCCTCTCTCTCAACGCAAACAAAACGGCAAAGGTCAAAGTCTACTCACCACGCAACTGTGAAGAGCTTCGTATCCCCTTCAGAGCCGATAAGACTGCCAAGGTCGTTGGAAAACTTGCATCGATTCAGCCTCCTCAGAGCATTCATCCTGATCAAAGTGCTGCACCTCCTCTCGTTACTGGCGTCCTCGTCCAGAACGACTTCAAGCTTTCTCTCATGGCGCCCGAGGATCTCCGAGAGTACGCGGGTCTAAACACAACCACCATCACCTGCAAGCAGCGCCTGACCCTCAGTGCTGCAGGTGTCGACCTCGTCAAGTGGGCTCTGGAGGGCACGTTTGGCAACATCGAAGAACTCCCCGAGATGCGTCGTGGGAAGAATGGCCAAAGCAATGGAAATGGCGATCATATGATCACGGATAGCGAGGAAACGAAGCAAGAGGATGCTGATGAAGAGGTTGCTAGCCTCGTTGCAGCTTACCTCGTCATGGGATGTGTCTCAGTCCGATACCGCACAAACGGCGAGGTTGAGCTCGAGTGGGAGGGCAATATGCTCAACGACGGCATTGCCGACTCCGTCATGGCTGTTCTCTTCTCCGTGGAGAGTTCTCCTGCTGCTGTGAAGCGCTCCTCCGCTAAGCATTCCCACTCGCACGAGCTACCTGATGTGAACCCTCACCACTCTGCCTCCCCAGAGGAGCGCCTTGAGCGTCTTCTCTGGTTCCTCGAAGCTCAGTTCGGTCAAGACAACGTTGCTCCAGTCACGACCCCCAAACTGCCAGCTATAGAGGACGCCGAAGATAAGATCAAGAAGGACGAGGCCGACGATGCCATGAAGACAGAGGAGGATGGTGAGGATACACAACTCCAGGAGAGACAACAGAAGGAGATTGACAGGCTGCACAAGATTGGCATTCCTGTGCCAGGAGTGTCCATTAAGGTGGACAGGATGAATGCTACGGTTTGGTTGGAAGATCTCGAGGTTGAGTCTAACAACAAGGTTTTTGCAGACAGAGTGAGAGCGGTGGTGGAGAGAGCTGTCGAGGTGACAGCACCTCTTTGGGGATGAAGAGGATATAGCTCCAGAAACGTTCACGGACATGTACAAGAAGGCTTGATTCTATAGTTACAAGGCATTACGTGGGCAATCTGCCTATCAAACAGCTTGACTTTCATGTCAGAAAACTTCGCAAAAGCCCAGAGTTTCTAATGTTGCACTATGCTACCTATGATACAATAAAAATATCACTGTCTACTGCTATAAAAAAAAAAGACAACATATATGCGAACCCTTCCAATTAACCCAAGTAGTCCTTGAGCTCTTCCGACTCTTCCAGCAGGGTGTTGAACGAGAAAGGCGCAAAGGGCCAACCGGCAAACTCTGCGAACTTGGAGAACGACTCGACCCAAGCGAGACGCAGGGAGTGCAACATGGCACTGGTACCCTCCATACAAACGAGAATAGCAATGGCTGGGATGCGTTAGTGAACAAACAAGATAGGCGGGACTGGCAATACTTACTCAAGAAAAACCACATAGTAAAACAAACAACAATCATGATGACACCGACAACGCCGCTCATTTTGAGAGCTGGGCCAAGAGTCATGGACCAAAGCACAATACTCAGCTGTTGATGAGCGAGAGACAAAGCCCAAAGTCTGAGGTAGGAGGCAGTGTGAGAGACACAGTTCAGACAGAATTCTAGCCATTTGTTAATAAAGTTGCAGTGCCAATGTAAATCGGTAACAACTTACCAATTGTATGAATGACCTGGTGGATCATAACCTCACTAAACTCGAACTCCTCATGCTCCTCACTAATGTTCTGAGAGATCATAGCAACTCCCTCGCCATCTTCGTCGAAGCTGTTGCCGTGGCCATTGGCGTCTTCATCATCGCCGTCCAAAGCACTAACTCGGGACGTTTCACCTATGCTACGGTAACCCTTGGCGCGAGCACGGCTGTTCTCCCATCGAAGATAGAAAGGCTTGAGGAAGAGGAGGATGGGGACTTGGATGAAAGCCAAGAGCAAGAGAATGACTTGGACAACAGACTGTCCAGCGTAAAGCTCTTCGCCCTCAGGAATGGTTCCAGGCTGGAGGAACATGTAAATAAGCATGTTGAGCAGTCCAGGAGGTTGGCGGCCAGTGCCCAGCCAATCAACAGACCACTTGTAAACAATGCAAATAACCAGGTAGCCAAAGATGGACTGGAAGAAGATCATGCCAGGGATGAAGTTGCCCCAGATGTCAATGGGCTTCTTGAAGTGGCGAGCGTTGATGTAAGAGAAGCAGAGCGAGTAGGTCATGTGTGCCCAGCCTAGGAGGATACTCATCTTCATCTTCAAACTGTTGCTGAAGAGGAGGTCGTTCTCACTTCCATGCCATGCATAATCCAAACCGAAGGGGTAACGGTGACCATCTTCCCTCAGAGTGGCAACGATGCTTGTAGTGTTGGTATAGTTCTCGGGTTTCTTAAACTCCCAAGCACTCTCGAAGAGAGTCATGGACATCGAAAAGACATCATTGTAGATGAGACCGGTAAAAACGGAGAAAACAGCCATGACCAGAGCAATGTAGCGGCCGTAGAAGATCATGGCAAACAGCTCGAAGCTAACCTTCTTCAGGGACTTCTCCCAGTAAATCATAGCAAGAGCAGCGGAAAGCATGATAATGGCATGGCCGAAATCACCAAACATGACAGCGAATAGGAAAGGGAATGTGACAAAAACAGGAATGGCCGGGTTGACTTCCTGGTACGTGGCGGTACCATAGGCATTGACGATAGTCTGGAAACCTTCGGTGATCTTGTTGGTCTTCAGGTAAGTGGGCGGCGTCTTATTGGTCTGAATCTTATTGATAATAGAAGGGACGGAGAGGCCAGCTCTGTTAGTAACGTCCTGAAGGGTCGTCCTGATCAGGGGAAGATCATTGGTAGGTACCCAGGCTTCGGCAATGAGAGTTCGCCGAGCACTATCATAGGAGAAGTTGTTTAGTGTGTTATACACGGCCTTTTCCTTGGCGACAAGAACCATCCAGGCAGACAGCGACTGTGAGATCTGCTTAAGCTCTGCCTGAAGAGTGGCCTGGGTGTTTTGTAGAACGTTCTGTACATCCTCCAGTCGGTTGTTGACCTCGTGAATCTGGTCACGTCGAAGATCACTGTTCTCGTCGACATTGTACACATCAGCACCCATGGACTCGGAGATCTTACGGATCTTGTTGAGAATCTCCTTGCCGTGGGCGAAAATAACGAAGACGTTCTTGTTGATGGCCTCGTTGTTGGTAGGATCGATCAAGGGCTCGGGAATCTCAGACTGGTTCATATAAAGGTTACCGCGCAGAGTTCGCCAGAGGATACGCTCGAAGGAGGCGACTCTGTCTCTAGCAATGACACCAGCGACGAAGCCAATGTTCATGCCAGAGAAAGAACGCTCGGCATCGGGGCCACCCTGATTTTGCTCGATGTCAGACAGAAGAGGAGCATCGTCGTTGTCAGTAGAAGCGCGAATCTCCTCGACATTTCCGTGGGCGCGGTCGAAGAAGCTGCCGGCCTCACGCAGGACCCATCGCCATTCGGTCAAGTCGCCCTCGCGCTTCTTCAAGGTCTCGTAGCTCTCGTTCAGGGCAGAAACTCGCTGTTCCAACTTCTGGCTTCGCTCAGCAAGCTCGTCAATTTCGGAAGTTGAGGGAGACGCAAGTCGCTCAACGTCAAGGTCCAGCTTTCGGAGGGGGATTCCGATCTTGTCCATCTGAGCGTAGAAGTATCCTGCAATGTGTTAGATTTGTATGTTCGTGGTGGATCCCTTTGAATGACGTACGCAGCTGTCGCTCAACATTGTCGAGTCGTCGAATCTCCTGAGTAAAAGTGCGTTGGAATGCGCTGACATCCTCATTAAGCTGCATGATGTACCGATGGATTAGCCTCGATTCTTGATGCAAGAATTGATGGATTGTTGCCTACATCGCGGAATTGGCAGAGACCAAGCTCGCCGAGGGCCGTAACGACTTCGCGACCGATTTCATTAGAGACATAGAGCTGTACCATGCTCATGTCCGCAGAGCGGAACGGGGTATCCGGTTTAGGAGCCATGATGCTGTCGAGCACCAAAGCTGTATATGTCGTTGAAGTTGGAGCTTATTCAAGGAGCAAGGCACGCTTTGGCGCGGTTACGTCGCAGGAGGCTGTTCTTGCCACGGCCCCTGGTTGTTCCGGTTTTGGATGCCACGTGATCTCGTCCAGCCACCGGCATCCCAACGCCACATTAAGCTTTATGCCACACGGGAAAGCTGCGAGATTGATTGAGGTTAAGAATAGTTAGGTTATCGATATCGATATTATCTCCCCTTCTTAGACCAAAGATAAGATCAATGGTAACTTCCGCATATTTATAAATTGCATAGTCTCGAAGTGGTTGAACATGCATAGTCTAAATTCTGATAGGCTGAGGCCCTAGTATAACTTCTTGCAAGCAGATACAGACAGCCATCCATCATACTAGAAAAGCAGCAACAGAGATTATTTGCTCACACAATCCATACATTCACAGTTATACCACTTAAAGATTAATCATTTCATGAAAGTCATTATTGATTATCTACACGTTTTCCTTCGCCATATCCATGCTTCAGAACGCTTTTTTCCATCAAAATGACTTTGCTTTTATCGCTAATTTTGACCGCTGTGCGCCAGGATATCAAATCAATATGCAATCCGAATCTATCCATATAATCAAACCATAACACCTTTAGAACAATGATATGAGAGTAGAGAGATCCGTGCAACTGGTGTCGGAGATTGGCATTTTACAGCCTTCGGCCGAACATGAACGTGCCATACATGCCTCCGACGTCGGCCTCCGCAACCGGGATCTTCCTCATGCCCCAGCTCTCAGCGCCCAGCTTCCACCACCGGGCGCCGCTGTCGAGAGAGGCTCCGTCGGTGTTCAAGCGGACTAGCCAGTACCGGCTTCCGAACTCCTTAGGGGTCCATCCTGCACGTTCAAGGTTCTTCTTAGCCTTGGCCGCTCGCTCGTATGCGCGCTCTTCGAGCTCGATAACCTGCAGCGGGGCGGAGGCGGGGGTAAGGAGTGCGCTGGCACTACCGATGATAGTGTCCAGGTCGGAGATATCGAGGTATCGGAGAGTGTGAGGAATCCACTCCTGGGCTTGGTACAGGAGCTGGTGGATGTCACGGAGATCGAGGCCTCGGCCGATAGCAAGCTCCTCCAGATGCTGGACCAGAGGGGTGAGAAGAGGTATCTGGGAAGGATCCATTCTACTACCCTTGAGACTCAGCGATCGAAGGGTAGGGGGCAGTCGGGGAAGGATAGCATCAACATCCGCCTTGCCCAGCAGGAGGTGGCTGCTGGCATTGGTAGCAAGGCTGAGGACAGTGATGGTCTGGATGATCGCGGGATGAGTTGTGACAAACTTGACAACAACTTCAGAGGTCAACTCTCGGCACTTGGCCAAGTTCAGGTGTGTGAGTCTTGCCGTCTCAGGCAAGCTCTGCAACGCCTTGTCGGTCACTCTGGTTCCAGCGAGATCGAGGTGAGTAGCTCGTTCAAGTCGAGGTAGGATGGCCTCGAAGACGGAGCCTGGCAAGTTCAGGCACTTGTGGAACGAAATACGTGTAAGAGTCAAAGAATCGGGCCACTGAGCCTGGAGGAGGCTAGTGAACGAATTCTTGAAAGAAGGAGAGGAGCAGCCGCAAAAGTCGATGGCTTGGAGCCGGGGCATTTCAAAGAAGAGCTTCTTGATAACATCGGGTCCAAGATCTTCATCGATATACTCTTGCGCCAGGAACTCCTGCAGGTATGGGGTTAGCTCGAGACATTTGTAGAGGGTCTCGGAAGTCAGGTTTCGAGTCTGGGCTCTCTCGCTGGCAGTAGAGAAGATGGTGGAGGGGTTAAAGTGGCTGAAGTCGAGCCGCCGCACAATAGATGCGAGCGCGGGGTACTCAGTGATGGTTGCGAGGAACTTTCGGAAGATGCGAGAGTGAGGAATCGTGATGTGACGGTAGAGTGTGTTGAGAGTCGCAGCATGAATAGATCGCGAAGTAAGAAGAAGAGCCATAAGGTCGGCATTTCGTGGTGTAAGGCCGTTGGGAGGGATCTCGATGACGAGAAGGTCGATAATGGCACCTGTGATCGACATGTTAGTACAAGGTGTGTCATATAATTGGGACCGGGGTTCAGCAGGGTTCATGAACTGTTTGGCATGCGATGCGCGCAAGTTTACGTACCCAAAACTTCGCTGGGAAGTCTCTCGAGAGGAGAAGATCCGGTCTGGTAGCTGTTGGGTGAAGCCTTCTCAGTGACGGCGGGAGGTGCTGGAGAGCTCCATGTCATGGATAGCTTGTGAAGATCCTCGCAGCTGCGGCTGGCGGATTTGCCCTTGATGGGGATCTGCTTCCATCCGCGAAAGTTGTCCGCGGGGAACCAGAAGCCATGAAGCCGACTGTGAGGCTGCGTCAGAGGAGCCTGAAAAGACGGCTGTGCAATCTCAGCGGAGGGTGAGGGTGATTCATCGAATACCTCTTCCGGCCCTTGAGTGTAGGAGGAAATCTTTGAGCGGGTGAAAGTCTGGGCTAGGCCATCATCGTTCTCTCGGACAGACGAGAAGGACGATCGTGCAGTCTTGTCGCTGTTGCTGTTGGGAGATTCGGGGCGTGACATTTTGGCCTTGAGCAGAGCAGAAAGGTCAAACTGAGGCACCGCGTGGTGCGTGGGGCTAAGAGGGAGGGCCATTCAATTAAAGATATAAAGATATGCAATGGCCGACCTCAGCGAGAGAGGACGGAATTGTCAGGTGGGAATAGTCTAGGTAGGCAGGCTAGGTAGGAATGAGATCGCCAACCAAACGGTTGGCAAAAATATCAGGCTCGAATAAAAAGAATATTCACGAAATAGCAGTGGCGTTCTATGAGCCACCGGATCCGGAGTCTTTGTTGCTATACGGCGCTGTCTGTAGTAGGTATTGTTAAGCTTAGGCCGATAGAGGGCGGCGAGAAGCGATGACGAAATGGTTTGCGATACTCGGAGAGGATGATGACCGACCAAGAGATAAGATCTAAAAGGTCAGAGGATACTTTCTTATCGTCAAAAATAATCTGGAATGATAAAGCAAGAAACAGAGCGACTCGCGCATCAGGGCTTGGGGGGGCTTGGGGATAGTTATAAACGAACGAACGACTCCACGAGGCAACTCCATGAAGTTTAGTCTAGTACAACGACCATTTATTATGACTAGGACTAGGACAAGGAATGGGTAATGGAACTACATAGAGACGGGACCTCAATGGGGACCTCATGACGGGGACCGGAGGGTCCAAACGCCAGGGAAAGGGATCCAAGACCCAAGACCGAGACGAGACAAGCAGGACAAGGAAGGGAAAAGGCAAGATTCAAGGCGAACCCCGAACGATGAGCAACAGTAAGTAAGAAAAAGAGGCTAAGGAGCGGCGCCACTGGGGCCAGTCCAGGGACGTTGGTGTTGGTGTTTGGCACCTCATACTCATGCACGGGGCATTTGTTTAGCTCGGGATCGCACAATATTGGGTAATAGAAATCAAAGACTGGATGGACTTCTCGGGTCTGGAGACGTCAGGTGAGCATTCGACACGACACCATGGCTTGTCTGTCACAGTCATTCATTCATTCATTCATTCATTCATTACCTGGACTGTCACAGTCACAGTCGACGCCATGTTCCATCATGACATCTCGGTCAGTCAAGGATGAATGTCGCAGCTCACCAAGTATCCATCCATTCTGAAGAGAACCGCCCAATGATGAATTATTAGCGAGTAATGAGATGTCAAAAGCCGTTGCCGCTCAGAGATCCAATGTCCAAACAAAGAAAAGAATTTCGCTGCAGCCGCTAACGCCGGATCGGCCTAAAAGAAAAAAAAGAGGTGTGCCACTCATTCGATTGGACGAAGCAAGTCGAGATTTGGTAATGAGAACGACCTCGCTGAGAAGCCAAGACTAACAGAAAAAATCAACTGCCCAGCTGCCTTTGCTTGTCCGTCTGCTGATTTTGTCGAACCTCGTCTTGGCAACAACACGTCAAATTGCACATCATCTTGCTGACCATCAGATGTTTCTACAGTGCAGGCAGTCAGTCATGTCCTTCCTTGCCTTACCCCAGAATCTTGCATTGCGTCTTCATGTATTCATTTGACGTATGTATACGGAGTATGCTGTACAACTTGCAACATGGAAGACCATGTCACTTATACGAACTTGCACTTATAAACTCCGCGGACCAGGCTCTTCCACCTACCTAAGGTATCTAACAGGTACTCCTCCTCTATGCAAGACAACCTTTTCCCTGAGCCAGCCAGTGGATTCTTACTACAGTTCAACAACCAAACGTAACGTAGCAAAACGTAATATAATGACATCCTTCGTCAGCGAATGGACAGCTGCACCTGTAGAGTAATAGAAACAACACAACCCCGCCTTCGTTTCACAGGAATTGCATCAAAAAGCCCCAGATCTCGAAATTAATAAATCACATAATATTGACAGATTCGCCGAGATCCTCGTGACCTAAAGAATGTCGGCCACGTCGGGAGACCAGCAACGCGATTCCGGCAATGGCCTTTTCTAAGCATCCGTTTCTTCTAGACCCCCCAAGCTAGAAGCCCCCAGAACGACACCTTTTTTGCGAAAAAAGGGACATTACTACTATACTTAGCGTACAGTGGCCACTCAGGTCACAAGGGCCGTCTTAAAACAGCAGAGTTTGAGGCGCTGCATAACACCCCTCGGTACGAAAAGAGTATCTTTGCCTCAAGATACCTTACCCGCTTTGCACCGCCGGCTTATTACCACTCCCAATCGAACAACGCCGCACCCATGCTCGAACTACCTCGAGACACAGATCCCGCCAGAGAAGACAAAGTTGAGAGAATTTAAAATGTTAACGATACGTAAAAGAGAGGCATTTCCTTCGAGAACCGGCAAAGATGCCGGTCCCCAGATTTCAGATCCTCTAGAAGGTTTCCTTTCAAGTAAACATTACCCTCTCAAGTGGGCATCGTCGTTACCGGCACCCCGTTTCCTCCGGCCCTAGTCGACGCCAACTGGAGCTTAAGCACGCCAGGCCGAGACCGACCACGGAGACGAACACCGACTCCAGCCGCCGAGGGACCAGACATGTCAGCCGGGGTCCTATTTTCAGTGGTAACAACAGAGACCAATCACGCTAATATTGTACGGTAGTTATTAGTATCCCGAAACCTCAGCCCAATATCAACAGCCTTGAACAACCCCCAATTGCTAAGCACAGACAGCCAAGAAACATACCACGTTCCTGAATCACACTGACCATATGATATGCCATAGTACGACCAGCATCCTGGCAACATGCGATTCAGCTGTTGCACGTGCCTCATGGTGTCTGACCTAGATGAGATTGCTCAGCTTGTCCCCCGGAATATCGTGTAATTAAGCTATATCGGCTGTTTCTCCAGATGATATAGGATAGACACCGCCTCATCAAATATGCACTCCAGACTGAGGCCCCTTAATACCTAGGTTGTTGAATGCCAACCAAGATCGCCATCATTCAGAAAAGGAGGTTCACAATACCATCATTGTGCAACACCATTGCAGGTTCTGGGAATCATGTCCGGATTTCGGCACCATCGTCAAGACATTCCAGATCTGTGTTCGATTACGAATATATCATCATGAGAGTGTAATAACGTGATCCTCTCCGCGCCAGTGGACTCGGAGCGCGGCCGGGACACTTACAGCTTATAAGCGCCGCGTACCCGCAGCCGCACCCCCCAGAGGTAAAAGGGCGAAGATGGGAGCAGACAAAAAAAGACACCAGCCATTAAGAGGGACAGATTTACCCCGGATTTTCCTTAACGTCATGACCCGGATCTGCCTGTCACTTTCACTTTCCATCACTCTTCCAACGCGTCACTTGACTCCCACTGTCTCTCTGACTAATAACCAACCAACCCCCTTCCAAATTCCGAACCCCCGGAACCTCCATCTCCGTGTGACATTGTTGAGCTCGAAACCTTTCTAAACACCTTCTCTTCTCTCTTCTCGCGTCCCTTCTCTCCCCTTACTTTCCTTACATAGCCTAGTTACTTTGCTTCTCAACAGTTGCAGATCTTAGCTTCGCTACCGCGGACAAGGAGCACTTGCAAGCCTCACAACCACCAGAATAATCGAAGCTCCCCCTTGTCGCCCTCTGCCGTTGGCCAATGCATCAAAGCTACCCCTTGCACTCTGGCGGCTCAGAAAATCAATTACCTAACATTTTGCTCTTAGCGGTCTGCATCGTGAACCTCGTGACCATGGCTGGACCACCCTCGAACCTTGGTATCAAGCTCGGCTGGGGTGGCTGTAATCTCAACACTGAGCACAACCTAGGTACCTAACCGCCATCAGCTCCAGCCCAAACATCGTGACATTTCCCCGGGCTCCCGCTCTTCTCTTCGCCTCTCCTCATCCGGTCATCACTAACCCATTTCAAGCAAGTGCTTCCATTGGTCAAATCCAACGGTGTATTCATTCCGCCCCAGGCGGGGGCCAGTGTAAGTAATGCAATGCAATATACGGAGTACACCCCTCAAACTCCCCCGCATTTTGCCCCTGACTCTCCACCCATATTCGCACCTTCGCCCGCTACACTACAACGCTTTCTATAGAATTGAGAATAACACCTGGACGCATAGTCCCAGTCCCTATACAGCACCTGCGCTTCCAGATGAGAACTTGATAGCATAACCCTCGGTTCAACAAAACCTCCCTCAACCATTGAGAACACCAGAAACAAGGATCGGGTACTGTATGACCGCGTCCACCGCCATCCCAAGAAACAAAGGAAACGCCATATGTGTCTGTCGTATACATTCGCCCGTTCAGTCTATGGGCTGTGCAATTCGCTTTAGAACCAATCGTCGGTTTTCAAATGAGGCCATCGTGACTGGTCCGTAACTCGCGGCACGCAAATGTCGCCTGACCTCTATCGACCATTGGCCTTTTTACCTCCCGCTTTGAGGCGTTCCTTGCAGTCCTCGCAATACCATTTCGCTACAACAAGTTAGCGTTTAGTTCGTCTGATAGTTCAGTCCTCTCTTGCAGCAACTTACCTGTTGATGTCGGTGCGACCTTCAGTCCTACGCACTCCAAATGGAACCATTCGCGAGGACACTCAACAGCATCGCAAGCCACCATCTCGCCGTACGAGACCCCATTACAGTAACAGTATGTTGGCTCATCGGCATCAACATCGCCGTCATCTTCGTCCCCTTGCATGCTGCTGTTCGTATCTTCTTCGGCCAGTTGAGCCGCAACAGCTGCATGAATGGTAGGTACAGCTTTCTTCTGGTTTTTCTTTCCAGTACCCGTTCCGTCATTGTTCCTCGATGAGCGTGCTCGGGGCTGTACTGCTTCTCGGAACGTTGCCAATGCTGGCGTTGATGGTTTACTGGCGCGTCCACTCTTCGTTGTGACTGTGGCTGTCTGTGGAACTGGTGGTAGCGATTCGCTCTTGCGATCATTCTCCTCCGGCTTTTTGGTGTCCTTCTTGCTGCCAGTCGTAGCAGCACTGGTGGTTGCGGCGGTAGTGGTGGTGGAGATGGTGGCAGTGGTGGTAGGAGTAGGTGCCGGAGGCGCTGGCGCAGTTTCTGGTTTCTCGGCTTCTTTCTTAGGATTTTCGATTTTGATCGGTGCACTCGTCTCCTTTGGAGTCTTGGGTTCGGCACCGTTGCGAAGTGCACTAACTGCTGGAGCTCCAGCGGCTGGCGTGCTAGCTGCGTTGCCATTGGGTTTATTAGAAGCCGATGATGTCGGCCTTGCCTTGTTGCTATCCGTGTTAACAGTCTGTATTGAGTTCTGTCGCGAACGAGTCCGAGCCGGGTTTGGAGTAGGAATCGGTACTGGCGATGCGCGAACAGGGGGTAGCTTTGGCTCAGGTAGCTCTGTGATCACGGGCGACGAGTTGACCGAATTGGATAAACCAGTTGCGCCGTTTCTGCTACAGTTCACCATGTTAGAAACTGTCTTCAGAGCATCTCCTACAGAATCTGGGATATACCTCTTCTTGGACTGGCCGCTTCCTGAAGGGAGAGCTTTTCTCTTCTTAGGTGCTTCGGGTGCGGGAGTTGCTCTAGGACTTGTTGTCTTTGCCTTCGGTGCAGCATTTCCAAAAACCGAGCTCATTGCACGCTCTGTTGTCGCCGCAGCACCATTAGTCGTCTTTTCAACTTTGCGTCGCTTCTGTGGCGGGTTGCCGTTGTTAGTCGCAGCCGTAGAAATGCCCAGTCCGACATTGGCAGTTTCCGTAGCTGTCGCTGTCACTGTCGCTGTCACTGTCGCTGTCACTGTCGCTGTCGCCGTCTTCCGCGATTTGGCTGTCTTCTTTGGAGCTTCAGGCTTGTGTTTGCCGTCATGGTCGTCTCCGTCCGAATCGTGGTTATGAGTATTAGAGTGGTTATGATTATTGTTGTGATTTCTCGAATTCTTCTTTGCTTGTACAGCCTGCTTGCGAGCATCGCTTCTAGCGGCTGCCTCGTCAGCAAGGGCCTGCGCAGCGGCAGATATGGCTGCGGCGCCGTCACGCCGTGTTCGATCGACATGAGAGGCCTTGGAGAAGCGATTTTCGGGATATGCCCAATGTGTGGTGCTTCCCCATTTGGCCTCGTCACTGAATTCGCCTTCTAGGTGAGGCCAAACATCTTCAATCCGAGTGAGCTGGGCTTCGAGTGCTTCGTTGGCTGTCGAGATAACGTGGTTCTTTTCTTCGAGCGAGACAAGCATTTCTTGGATCTTGAGCGCGGTCTGACGAAAAAGGTGACGACGAGGAAGATTGGATGGGTCGAAAACAGCATCCTTGTTCGATTCATCGACTGAGGGTACGCTCTGGACGCTATTGTTGAATGCAATACCACTTGAGCTATTCTGCGCACTCATAGGCGCCGAACCAGGAGCATTGGCGCTGGATGCCTCGTTGTTCGGACGTGCCTCGGGAACAGGAGCGTTGGTGGCAGCTTCAACAAGTCGGAAGAGCTGATCTTCGGGGGTGAAAAGTTTGGCATCGACCTCCTTGAGGAGTGTAAAATGCCGAACGAGTTCCTTTGGGAGTGCAGTAATGGCATCGGCAAAGTGTGTAATCGCAGGGAAAATGTCGATGGGTTGCTCGGCACCGCCGATTGAGTCTCTACCAGCACCACCAGAACGACCCAAGTTCGTGATGCTTCGCGAAGGGTTCGTACGAGTCTGACGGACGGGCTGCGACCGGCGGTGCGACGAGTTCTCCGCCGCGGGCGCCTTGGCCGACTTCATGGTGGAAAACGCGAAAGAGGAGAGAGAGGACTGAGGCGGCTCGGTCGATCACTTCGAGGTTAGACGGCGGGACGAAGCTGGCGGCAGAAAGTTTGATTCAAGAGAGAGCTATGATGTGAACAGGAAGTAAATAGGCAAGTAAGAGTTGGTATGGGCCAGGTAGAAAACAAAAGGCTAGGTCATTTTGCGCTCTGGTGCCATAAGTGGTGAGAAGAATCTGTGTATAATGAGGAGGGGAGAAAAGAGAGCACGCGTAGTAGCAGAAACGAAAGCGGGATGGGATATGGATTGGATGGATGGGCTGGCTGTCTGTCTTCCACTAGGCTCCCATTCGATTTTGGAGACTCAGCGCTGCGAATGCCGTGGCGCCTACTGTACATGCTACCTATAACTCTAGGGGGTTACAGAGACTTACATGACCCGACCCGCAGCCCCGGAGAAACCAGCCCCCGATGACGGAGTGCCTTGACGAAAAAAGGCAATGATGCAACTGAGATCAATGTTGACATTCAACCAGATTAGTCTCCAAGTTAGCAACTACGTCGAATTCAAAGACAATGCTTCTGTCTTCTCCAATCTCAGTTCCATGTTTGAATACAATGCTCAAGTCTTTAGCGGTTAAGCAGATATTGATCATGGGGGAATTTCCTAAGCCGCGTGGGGTATCACTATCGATAGCAATTCCGTCATAACATGACATCCATCGGTGATGAAATATCTGTTTAGTACAAAGAACCAATCTAGAAGCAGTGTAGAACGGACGCAAACAAGCTTATCTTGTACAAACAAAGAAAATGATATGATGAGCGTATCAAAGTCTACCGCTCACTAACCCCAGCAAAACTAACACCAAAATCTTCAAATTCACACGCCTTTCTCAAACCATCGCAAGACCACTTATGATCAAGGCTGTTTGGATTTTCTACAACCAGGGTATCACTGCCACCATAATCAAATCACGCTGTAACAGAAGAAGGCCGAACCACTGCCTCGTCGCGATCCTTCTGCTTTTGTCTCCATTGCCACTCGAGCAGAATCCAGATGAAGTCCTTGAGGTCGAAGTCAGGCCACAAAGTATCGATGAAGAAGATCTGTGTATCCTGATGGCATTGCCAAAGCATGAAGTCGCTAAGGCGCTCCACTCCGCTGGTTCGTACAAAGATATCTAGGGGCGGGTCGTTTGCAGTGTACATATGCTTGTCCAGGGTCTCGGCTGTGATTGTTTCGGGGTTCGGTAAGCCCGAAAGGCTGGCAGCGCTGTTCCTTGCGCGAAGGCGAGGAGGGGAGTCGGGTTGCAGTGTGGGCGATGAGGAATCTCCATCGCTGTCTTTCTTGGCATCATCTCCATCTAATGGTTCGACCTCTTCGGGAAGGACATCCGGGATTGTAGGCAGTCCCTCGCGACCGTCCAGCTGGCGCGAAAGGATCTTCTGTCGAATTCGAGATGGGGAGAAGGGCGTGCTTCGAGGAGGTGTGGGAGCGAGGAACTCTTGCACTGTTGATTTCACTGCGGATGTGATCTCGGCTCGGGAGGTGTATGGGAAGCAAATGTTCAGAACGGCCCTGGATACGCGTCAGCAATTGGTTCGCTCCTCTGGTGCAATGAACTGACTTGTTGTTGTGCTTAGTTCTCGCGACAGCCTTGTCGACCACTTCAAGAACGTCGGGTCGGATCATGTCGCGCTGGCCCAAGACGCGCACACGGGCACCGTAACGGTCGAGGATATGGCCATATTTTGTTAGCTGCTCCAGCTTGATCTTGGCCAGCTCCATCAGACCCTCCACTTCATATTTTGGTCGGTTGAAGTTCTCAATACTGAAGGCGTATACAGTCACGACCTTGACTCCGGACTTGTAGCAAATTTCCATGATCTAGATATTGCACGTTAGCACGTCGCACAATGGCGGGATTGTGGAAAACATACCCTAGCCAGCGCCTCGAATCCTCGGTGATGACCCTCTACGGTCTCCATTCTATGATTTCGAGCATATCGTCGGTTGCCATCCATCTCAAAAGAAACATGTTGAGGAATAGGGCCTTGCTTGAGGGCGCCAATGAGCAGCTCGCGAAGCTGGCGCATAGCCCATTCTCCAGGCGGAGATTCGACAATTACCCTCCGGAGAAATGATGATATAGCGTCAGACATTGTATTCTTTTTGTGTCCGAGACTTAATTTTGAAGAATAATCAAGGAAAGAAAAAGGTGTCGGGTGGAATAGTGAACGTGTTATCGAGTGTCGCTAGCTTAATTCAGACAGATGTATGTAAAACCTAGGCGGTATGAGACGGAATTCGGAATTCGAGAGAAGTTCATGAAAATGTTGTAATTGAAAACCAGCTTTAATAATTGATATGGGAAAACGATCGCCAGATGGCAAATAAACGAAGGTGACGACGAATTGACAAGACAGCCACGAAGCCTATGGTGGCGGAGTAGGCATCTGACGATGGGGATGAGGCTTGTTGAGGCGAGGCGTAGTTGGCACAAGCTTGGCGATTTCTGAAGCAGGGCAGCTCTTCTGTACCTGGGTGAGCCTTTAGGTGCCACCGGGGATGGTCCTGGTCCAATGATTTCTCTCTCGACACAGGTGGCTTAACGTCATTTTCAGGAACAGGCGCCGTGTCGTTTGCAACGGCACAGCTGACTGGGCATGCACGTTTACCACAAGGCTATTGCAATTAACCGTGACCTGAGGCTTATCAACAAGGATCGGAGTTTTCGGAGAGAAGTCATCATGAGTTGCCCCTAGCAGGGGATCATGGGAGATCGCGTTAGTGGATCGTCTACCCTGGAACCTCGAGCTTTTGATGTCGTTCCGAAATTGAGTCCTTTTTTCATGTGATTGTGGTTGTCTTCGGGAATAAAGATGGATTCGAGAATCTGTATGGTTTTGTCGTAAATATTGATGAGGCTGGCTTCGATATTTGTATCCAGCAACGCAATAGTTTCAGGCAGTAGGCGATTTTACCATCCTCAATTTCATCCAGTACTTCTCTCTGTGCCTAGGCAATATACTTAGACACAGGCACAGATACCGAGTGTTTGTATACTCATTTTCACACTTGATATATAACCCACAGTGGTTGCACCTCGACTTCTCGATACAGGGTATTCAGTAACACTAAGCAGGGTGGTGAATGAAACAGATGGGGATTTGAGATTGGACTTAGAGTTGGGTTGCTATGTTTGTTTTGAATCCGTCAGTAAGGCGTCCATTTTGAATCCATTCGATTAGTAGTCGATGAAGTAAATATCATAAGTTCATCATCTCAGAGAAAGCTCCTTTACGGAAAGTAATCATAGCAAAAAGGCCCCAACATGTTGATATTATGATCAACCCTCTCGATAGTGAATTAAAATCGTCCGTAGTAAAAAATTGACTGCCGTGACATCGTACTGGTATCAAAGCTCAGCTGATAACAGCCAACAATTAATTATATTGAGGTTATATATGCTGTCACAACGTTGTGTTTGTTGTTATTACATATGATATGACTCGTATCCATGGTAGGTAACGGATCTCCAACATGCTCGCATCTGCAGCTGGGCAACACGTATGTAACTATGGGGCACAAGTTTGGAGACGACAAGGATAATATGAGAGAATCCTGACCTTCCCCAGCCAAGATTTCCCCAGCTGGGTAAACCGAAAAAACTCTATCCGCATCCTATTGGTATCTCTTGATTTTGTAGATTCTATCGATTTCCCTTGACTCGAGTCTACCAAAAATAGGACTTGTCATATTATGCTCTCATGAGAGAACATGGTCCAGAACCTTGATTCTGACAACAGCGCTCAACTTTTTTGTTCCTTGCTGGAAATACGTCATTACCGCATAAAAAAACCTCAGGAAGCTTTTTAGCGTTGCGGATTAGGTACTATGAAACGCCACCATGCAAACGCCATGCTTCACCGGCATGTAGAAGCTGTCTCTGCAGTGAACGCTTCACGACTCTCGTATGAGAGAAATTATGTGTAACATGACAAGATTGTTTCTCTTCTTGTGTATCATGCAGTGTTTCTCTTGTTGACGGAGCATTCTCATACCAGACAAGACCGTAGTGCTCTCATCCAACTGTGAGCCCGCCGAGTGATGGCCGATGATGGTGTTCTTGGTGGAGTGGAAGAGCCAGGTCCATGTCTAACCGCCTGTTGCTAAACGTAGAGTTCAATGTCACTCTACTGCAAGAGCTGGCAGGTCTAGTACCAATCTAGAGACAAATACCCATGTTTGGAGAACAGCGGAGGATATGCAGCGGCCGCTGATACAATCGGTTGGTCAGCGGTCCTCGTCGAACCATGTGCCATGTGCTATCATTGGGTTATCAGGAAAGCCAGGAACAAAAAAATCAACTTCAACGAGATAGGAGGAAGCCACAATAGAGAGCAAAGACGGCCAAACTAGCCCAAGCCTCAGGCACAACCGAGACTATCATTCTTGATCCTACCCACCATCGTCGATCCCGTGTGTCTTGTCTGTCTCGCTTTCTTGGTACATACCTAGGTAGGGTGCTAAGGACTAACGTTGAGAGAGCTGTTTTTCTTACTTGGTCTCTTTTCTTCTAACCTTTCACCTCCTCTTCCTCTTCGTCTTGTTCTCTTCATCCTCTCCTCGCCCGAGGAGACTTACTGTACCTACACTCCCGAAGCTCCTCGCCATCATCCTTTCATCCTTTACTTGTTATTCTTCCCCTCTCCGCTTCCCCACACGCTCCAATTGACCTCATCATCCCCCACCAAAGTAAACCGTTGCTACCCCTCGTCGATCGTCGCCCGTGCTTCCCGCCCCTCGTCGAGCTCTCGTCGAGCTTCATTCTGAGCCATGGTTGTCCATGACGGTCACGAATACCTCACCGAGGAAGAGAGACGCCTCAAGGAGGATCGCGATCGCACCAAATACTGGAAGAAATGGGGCCCTTACGTTGCTGAGAGACAATGGGCTACAGGCATGTGATTCTGACAGAGGTCAACCAGGACCAGTCATGATAAGTCAATTGCTAACCAACGCAAAGTCCGAGAGGATTACAGCCACGACGGAGACGCCTGGAGCCGTAAGTCACCATTTTCAATGTCGCATCTCATTAGCGGCACTAACAAGTTACGTCAGACTTCCCTCACGACCACGCTCGCTCGCGCGCATTCCGATGGGGTGAAGACGGTATCGCTGGTGTCTGCGATACACACGGCTACCAAAATATCGGCTTCAGCTTCTGGAACGAGGAAGAGTTAGTTAATTGTCACAGATGGGCAATGAACCACGGTTGCTAATGAATCTACAGTGAATTCCTCAAGGAGCGTCTCTTTGGCCTCTCAAATCCCCAGGGCAACCATGGCGAGAGTGTGAAAGAGGCTCACTTCCACGTCGATAACACTCCTGTCAGTCATCTTCGCAATCTCACTTTCACTCAACTGGTCTGCTAACGATTTTACTTAGACTGTATTCCAACCACTTTCCCAAACTCACTCTAAAGCTGACCAGTCATGATAGCACTCGTACATGAAATTCCTTTACAAATATCCACAGAAAAAGTTCCCTTACAAAGATCTGATCGACGAAAACGCTCGACGAGGAAAGGAAGACAAAGAATACCAGATCACCGATACCGGCGTCTTCGACGAGGACAGATACTGGGACATCTTCATTGAGACAGCGAAAGAGACCGATGATCCCGATGAGATCCTCTTCCGAGTTACTGCCTGGAACCGAGGCCCGGATCCTGCGCCTCTCCACATCATTCCCCAGGTTTGGTTCCGCAACACTTGGAGCTGGGGCCGAGAGCCAGAGGAGAAGAAGCCTTCAATTAAATACGTCGACGAGAATGTGGCCAAGTCTAACCACTGGAGCTTGGGTGAGCGACACTTTCTGTGCTCCCCTTCACCCGGTGTTGGTTCCAGCGGCGATGATGTGATGCCCGAATTTATGTTCACCGAGAACGATACCAACTTCAAGGCCCTCTATGACCAAAAGAACAAGCAGCCCTATGTCAAGGATGCGTTCCATCGATACATCGTCGACGGAGAGAAGGAGGCCGTTAACCCTGCCAAGACTGGCACAAAATGTGCTGCATGGTTCAACTTTAACGAAGATGGCGGTGTTAACCCTGGCGAATGTGCTGGTAAGTATCATTGATTCCAAGCTACAAAATTTGCAACTGACTCCTGACCAAGTCGTTCGATTCCGCTTTACCAGGAGAGACGACAACTACCTCGACGAGGAAGACTTCGATGATGTTATTGAGACCCGCAAGGAGGAGGCCGATGAGTTCTACTACAGGCTCAGTCCTCTTCCCATGGCAGATGATTTACGTAACATCCAGCGACAAGCTTTCTCCGGCATGATGTGGACTAAGCAACATTATCACTTCATCTGGGATCACTGGGCGAATGGTGACCCTACTATGCCGCCTCCTCCAGCCTCCCGGAAAGACATCAGGAACTCCGCCTGGAAACATATGCACTGCGACGACATTCTATCCATGCCCGACTCATGGGAGTATCCTTTCTTTGCTGCTTGGGATAGTGCCTTTCACTGTATTCCGTTGGCCATGATTGACCCCGACTTTGCCAAGAAGCAGCTTGATTTGTTCACTCGAGAGTGGTACTGTCATCCCAACGGACAGTTGCCGGCGTAAGTGACTTGCTCTGCTTCTCAATCCCTAGAACATCATGTGCTAACATGTCTCCAGATACGAATGGAACTTTGGTGACGTAAATCCCCCAGTTCATGCATGGGCGACTTTCAGAACGTTCAAGATCGAGCGCAAGATGTATGGTCGTCAGGACTTGGACTTCCTAGAGCGCGTATTCCAGAAGCTACTTCTCAACTTCACCTGGTGGGTGAACCGTAAGGATACCGATGGCAAGAACGTATTCGAAGGAGGTTTCTTGGGTCTAGACAACATCGGCTTATTCAACCGTTCAGAGCCTCTGCCCACTGGCGGTGTACTCGAGCAAGCCGACAGTACTGGATGGATGGCGTTCTACTGTCTTTCTATGCTCAACATTGCTCTTGAGTTGGCCAAGCATCGCCGAATCTACGAGGATATCGCATCCAAGTTCTTCGAGCACTTCATCTTCATTAGTGATGCGATGACCTTCAGAACCGGCCATAAGGACGAAAAGTCCCTATGGAATGAAGAGGATGGCTTCTACTATGATGCCATTTCCTGGGGTGGCCCCTGGATCCAGCAGCTGCCCGTGCGATCGCTTGTGGGCTTGATCCCTCTTTATGCGACCATTACTCTGGAACCAGAGCTGATCAACCGGCTCCCTTCTTTCAAGAAGAGAGTTGACTGGTTCATCGAGAACCGATGCGATCTCGCTGAGAGGAACATGGCCAGTATTCGAAAGCGAGGTAAGGGCAACCGTATTCTGTTGTCCATCGTGAGCAAGGACCGATTGGAGAAGATCCTCAAGCGCATGCTTGACGAGGACGAGTTCTTCAGTGACCACGGTATTCGCTCACTCTCCAAGTTTCACAAGGAGAACCCATTCTCCATGGATGTAAATGGCCAGAAGTTCTGCGTTGGATACGTGCCAGGTGACTCAGATAGTGGTCTGTTTGGCGGCAACAGTAACTGGAGAGGACCTATTTGGCTCTGCGTCAACTTCCTGCTTGTGGAATCCCTGCAACGGTTCTTCCTCTTCTACGGACCAGACTTTCAGGTTGAGTGCCCGACTGGTAGTGGCGATTACATGCACCTGGGCAAGGTATCTGAAGAGATTCAGCACCGTTTGCAGCACCTCTTCGCCCGTACTGATGACGGAAGACGCAGCATCAACGGCGGTGATGATCGTCTTGACTTTGATGAGCACTGGAAGGATTACCTTTGGTTCCACGAATTCTTTGATGGTGATAACGGTCGTGGTCTGGGGGCTACTCACCAGTGTGGATGGACTGGATTGATTGCTCGCATGATTCATGATACTGGGTATGTTTTGTGTGATCTTTTGGTAATGACCAAGCTTGCTAACATTTTATAGCGTCAACTGCCGCCTTCCTCATACTCCTCGCACGCCTTCAATTGCCATGGGTCACTACTTTGACGACATCTTCCATCGGAGCGTCGAGACAGGCGTTCCTCACTCTGGTATGCCTCGCATCAGGCGGTCATCCACAGCTCGGTCCATCGGTGCCCGCAGTGACTTTGACGATGATACTCGCTCTGTGACCAACTCGATCTATCACGATGATCCGGATCGAGCCAGGGAGCGCACTGAAGCCGATGCTCACATGCACAGCTACGTCTCCGAGCAGCTTGAGAGGTACAAAGATGACAGAAAGGATGGCAACTATGAGCATGATGACGAGTTCGAGACCAAAGCATAGGAGACTTGCGCGGTTATTGGGTGAATAGAAAGATTGGCGTTGTCGAGAGGAAGGAAGGAGTAGGTAACTGGGCGTTCTCAAAAGCAGGCCTGGCCAATTGTGCCTTGTTCTGGAGTAGCAAGGTATCCTGAGTTTACGGGGCTTAGACATATCATTCAGCAATACAAGTAGTCATGATACAGCAGAGTTGTTCTTTCTTGTCGTTGTTCTGTGATGAAGAAAGATTCAATGACATCACATTATAGCAATATATGAGAAACATGTTCAAGTCACTAAAACCAGTTGTTTGATTGGGGTGAAAATTTCGATCAAGTGTGCGCTCGTCCTCCCAGTCAGAGAGATTCATTTATCATTGGTTTTTCTTCTTCTTTTTACAACAGACAGACAGAGTGACTGAAAGTCATCACGCCGAACAAAGAGAATTCAATTGGGGAACTGCTTTATTGCATGCCCTGTTCACACCCTCCTACACTATTCTTCCCATCGACGCTCTCCCCATTCTTCTCCTCCAACCCGGGGATACAACAGCAATTGGGCTCGGAGGACTCAAAAAGTAACAGGCGGAAGAGAAGCCCCAGAAGCCGACGGGCAAGCCGCTTAGAGCTAGTTTTGTGTGGTGACGGATCCCACGAGACGAGGCAAAGGAGACACTAAATAGAGTTTGTATACTATGTTGGTGGTTTTACAGAGAGTCCGTGAGGAGCTTGTTCATCTTGGCGATGCGGGAAGAGACGCTGAGGTCGATGGTTCGGTCACCGATCTCAACGACAAGTCCACCAACAATCTCGGGGTTAACCTGGGGGAGGGGGTTAGGAGTTGAGTCGTGGTGATGGTATGGTCTAGACATACCTCGTTGGTGACCTTGAGCTTCTGGCCCTGGCTGACGTAGGCAGACTTGGAGACGGCAGTCTCCAATCGGTTGAGGGTTCGCTTGTCGAGAGCCTAGTGACAACAATGTCAGTCCATTGTCCTTCATGTTCCATGCCATGACATCCATCCGTTCATCCATCCTTGTCGTAAGCCCAGTATCGATATGCTGTGACGTAGCTTCCCACTTCCAACCCATGTCGATTGATATATCCCCAAACGTACCTGAGCGCTGGTAACAGTGAGCTCAACCTCACCGCGGGCGGCAGAGATGATGGAGGAGAACTTCTCAACAACACCGGGGATAAGTCCAAGTCGGTTGTTCTCGGCGAGGGTGGCGAGGAAGTTCTTGACGGTCTCGTCCTTGGTGTTGATCTGCTTCTCGAGCTCCTGGACGATGGCCTTCTTGTCGGCCGCGGTGAGGGTAGGGGCGGACAGGACGGTGGCGAGCTTGGGGTCCTTCTCGATGAGAGCGCCGAGTCTGTTCAGGGCATCGGCAGCGGCGTCGATGCTCGAGGTCTTGACGGCGGCAGTGTACTAAATTGACGCAAAAGAAAAAATTGCGTGTCAGCGACGACGCGATTCCAATTGAGGTTTCTGTGTCATGACGAGGGGAGTGCAATTGGCCTACGAAGCCAATTGGCAAATGAAAGATTCGAGGTACGGTGCTTTCTTCATTGTAGGTGGTGCATCATTACCAGAGCAGTAGCATATGTGCCATCAACGCCGAAGACGGAAATCGGGGGCTTGACTTCGGTCGAGGCAGCGGCAGCGAAGGATCGGACGGGGGCGGCTCGGAGGGCGAGGGCTCGCTGAGGAGCGGCGACTCGGGCGGCGCGGAGAACCTGTCGCGAGAACATGACGGCGGCTGCTTTGACGAGGACGAGGGCGAGGAGGAGGGAGATGAGAAGAAGGGTGTGATGGTTGATGTTCGGCTTCAATTCACTTGGACGTTGTTGCTAGCCTGGGGTCTCGGCAATTTTCGGGCGCTCGATGCCTTACGTCCGTTCCAGGCATCCACTTTCTGATTACATAACTCAATATCCGATATTAAATAAGGTAGTCATCAGACATTTGCAACTCTCGGCTCCTGAGTTCCTATCAAAGAAGGTCAATCAGTTCTGGAATACTAAAAGAAATCTTGTTGATTCCTCAGGACTCATTCTTGTTAATGCACATGCAAGCTACTATAGTGCGGAACCCTAATGGCGCAGAGACTAACAACCTGCTCCCTATCAATCATGATCATACAGCCCAACAGCTTCTTACACTCTAGAAACTTGCCTCAAACGCCCAAAACTCCCAATTGCTAAGTGTCAGTACCTGTACCAGTTCCCTCACCCTCAAACTTCTCCTAGTCGCTCTTGAGCATGCTGTCCACCAGATCACCAAGGGGACCCCAGTAATCTCTACCACTCGCCAGGCCGTGCTCATCAACAAACAGCACATACTGCTTGAAGCTCGTGTTGAGGTGTGGCTCGAGTCCGAGCTCACGAATCACGGGGTAGTGGTGGCAGTAGATGTGTGCATATACACGATACATGCGTTTGAAGATCTGGCGAACCAGTGCTGGGAATGATTTGGGGAAGGGTACGCCTGGTGACTATCAGTGTAAGTTCCCAGGACAACGGAACAATCCAATGCCTACCGATCTTGCTGGGCAAGATTTGTTCATTGTCAATATTCGCCTGCACCCATGACATGAGTTGCTCAATGTATGCTGGTGCAGGCATCTTGGTTGGACGCTTGTAGTTCTCATTGTCTTGCCACAAATACTCGAACCTAGTCCAGTCAGTTTCTGAGTTGTCCTTGGCTTAGGGGAATCTTACTCATCAGTAGCCTTCATCTCAGGGCATGACTGTGGTGAGCAGAACTCGGTGATGGCACCATAGAGAAGGTTGATCTGGTTATAGAAGTCCACCACTGAGCCATCAAATTAGCCAAGCCCACCCACAAAGATCAATTTTTGCAAACTCACTGTTGACAGCTAACCACTCGTTCTCATCCTCGCCTTCCGGAAGCTTGACAACCTTGCGCAAACTACCACCGCCAAGCGTCACCTCAGCATATTGTCGCAACTGATAACTGGCCGAGCCGCCCTTGCCCACGCGCGGGCGGAACTGGTTTCTCGTCCGCTGGTTACTATTCACCAGAGTTCCCGGGTTAGCAAGCGTCAATTCATCCACAAACATCAGAGGTTCTCCCGATAGGGAGACAGGTATAATGGTCGTTTCCAACTGCTGCATCGTCAAGAGCGACTTTGGGTTCAAGTATCGAAACATGCTGGCGGTGTGCGGCGACGAACACGGGGACTCCATGGTTAAGGTGTTTGGGAATAATGTAGAGAGACTAACACGGTAGTTAAGAAGGCTTGAGCCATTGTGAGCGGCGATTTCGACGAGGTCTCAAAGGTCAAGTTGCGATGCTATTGCATTCCAGCGGTTAGCGGGGCAATCGATCATGGGTTATAGTGAAGGGAGACAAACAAGGCTGGGTAATATGAGACAGATACCTCTAATCTTTCTGGTGAATAATTAGATGCGATATTGCAGAATCGTAAACTGCTAGGATGGTGCTTTGTGTATTGTTTTGGTAAGGGGCTGCGGCTGAACCTTATTGCTGAGGGTGATAGGGCAAAGGTGCAATAGGTAAGGTTGAGTTGTACGTTATCGATGGCGTAGGACAGTTGCACTGTTTACTCTATTTCCTGATTGGTTTGGTTGCTACGGAGCCTGGTCATCCCACAAACCCCACCCTTCGTTCGCCTACCAGGTAGGTAGGTTAGATACTGTAAGTTTGATGCCAGTGCCAGTCTAGCCCATGCATCTGACGATTGAATTTCCCAGCTGTTCAAACTGGGATTAATATGGCATCTTTTGTCACGCGTTTTCGGAAAGACGGGAAGGTAAAAAAAATATCCGAATTAAAATTGAATCCTTTAAAATATATGCCGAACCATTAGCGGTTCAAGGATGGATGCCTGTGCTCTAATATTGTGATTGTATACAGCAATTCATCTACTCTGTGTATAAACTTCAATTCCGTCACCATCTTCCTCCACGGCCCCTACCTTGCCCTCTTCCTCGTCCCCTGCCGCCTCTGCCGCCTCCACGACCTCTGCCACCACCGGAGAATCGTTGGTCAGTTTTTGGTGGTCCCTGCGCTTTCCTCTGTCGCCTCTCTGTATCTGTGGCATCCCAAACGTTTGCAAGCCCCATAAGTTCACAGAAAGCCGCCGTCTGGGGACTGGTGTACTCTTCTGGCTGGTCGATAACAATCTCGGGAGAGCCTGGCACGTAAGGCGGTGCTGTGATCTCGAAGTTGTAAGGAACATCTAGCTTTTTACCCCTGACAATATTTTCCTCGACCCATTCTCTCTCCTTTTCGATGAGGGGCAGATAATGCTCTTCTCCGAGATCAGGAGGCGTCTGTACGCTCCGGTCACCAACAATCAAGGAGCCATGGAAGACGCGAGTGATTGCGAGCCATTCTGGATCGTATTGCAACCTCCAACGAGGTGATTCCTCGGATGGGGGGTACTCAGAACTCGTCTCCGGCTTGAAAGGTTGAATCTCGCACAGTTGTAAATAGTGTCTATGTCCTTCGCACTTGTCCAGGGCAAGGAATCGAACTTCTTTGTTCGTGATCTCAGGAGGTACTGGTTGGCCTGGTGTTTTCTTTGGTTGAGGGCGAGCAAACGATGCTGGAAGCTGCGCCCTTAGCTCATCCGACACTTCATTTGACGCCTCTGGAGCCCCTGGAGCCCCTGGAGCCTCTTTTGTCTCAGCTTCGCTCTTTTTGACTCCTGCAACAGGTTCAGCCTTCGAACCCTCGTCATCATCGTCATCCATATCCAAGTCTATTTCGTCAGGGTTGGCCTCGGTAGCTGAGGCAGGAGCAGGAGCAGGAGCAGGAGCAGGAACGAGAATTTCCTTGCTCTCTTGGGTCACAGGTTCAGCGTCTTTGTATACCTTGACCGCAGCGAACTTGACGTGCATGTGGGCTGAGAACCAATAAGGAGGTCGCAGGCGGTCCATGACATACTCTGCTGCCACGTTTCCAAGGGTGCCATCTATGGACTCCTTTTTGAAGAAAGGTTTCTTTTTAAAGAGTTCTGCATGGTCCCCATGCCACTCAACTGCACGTGGCCAGTCGTGACTGAGACCGACGTCCACCTGAGTCCGTACTTGAAGCATTTTCCGGACGTCGAATTCTCGGATATGGTACCACGACTTAACGTCGTCACCGCTGAACGGAAGCCTCTCGTGATGTGGTTTTCGATAGTCAAACCCCTTCCAGATGCCAGACAATCCAGCGATGCGTAGTGGGCCGAAGCGCAAGATATTGGCAGCACCCATATAGTAGATATTGGGTGCCACCCAGCCTCCATAATAAAGCTCCCAGAGATGTGAACTTGCTTCGTGGTTTCCAGCAATGAATATTGTTAGATAGGGTGCTTTTTGTTCACCAGAGTAGTACTTGGGAAAATCTCCTAGGCGTCGGTACTTGACAGGGCAAGACATGATGCTCAAATCTGCAGCATTTCGTACGGACTGAGACGCGGCGTGAGCAAACAAACCGGAACGGCATTAAGGCTGCAAATACCTGAAAATCGCCTCCAATGATGAGAATATCGACGCCATCCCACCCACGTTGCTTACAAGACTCTTCTACTGAGGCGTAGATTGCATCCAACGTGCCATGGCCCTTGGGTTGTTAATGTCATTACGATTTCTCTTAATGTTATAGGGAACTCACACATCCTTCTACTGCAACTCGGACGCCCTGCGTCTCGAATGTGTTTGCAGCCATTTTTCGCGGTGACGTGAAATTGTAGTTGAAGATGGAAAGTTGAGGCTGAGTGGATTCACAAACAGAAGCTGGTTTCCTTAATGGGCGAACAACTGATTACAGTGACAGCACCAAGCAACGGATCATTGAGTCCCGCGCTTTCCTGCCTAAAACAATGACTCAGATATTGAAATGAGACAAAGCTTTATATCATGTAAGCTTAAGCCTACATAGTTTTTTCTCTCTTTCCTATTAGAGGCATGGCAGCACTACCAATCAGTCTTGGGTCTCCACCATGCTGAGATGTAGCAAAAGAGCCACCAAGCACAAGGATATCTAGTCTCTTGATCTGAGTCCATGAATTAAGGTCGAGTCTTTGCTTAGGGCAGTGACCATTGAGCGGTAATGCTCGATCATGAGTCAACAGATCCTTGTCTTCCGTACACCCATCAGATCACGTGAGTATTATGCGTGTACCAGCTAAGTTCCCTTGCCTTCTTGTGGGATTACTACGAGCGTGCATGGAATACACTGAATATTAATGACATGCATTGAAAAACCTCACTGAAAAACAATTTTAAAATCAAGAAATGTTGCCCTTCAGAAAAAGCGAAAGCCCAATGCGTCAACTGAGTCACGCAGAGTGAGAGGGTTACTTTAATCTTCCATCTCTAATAGACGTTCGACCCACGGAGGAGTGAAGAGAAGAACGCATATGCTGAAATGGTGACAAGTCACGGTTGGACAGCTTGGCATCGGAATCAAGAAACTAGATCTGGTCTGGTTCGACATATGTCAATCGTCTCTAGTGTAGGTCCATTACCATTATTCGCAAGAACAGAAATAAACTGTAGGGTCTGAAGAGAGCTGCACAAGACCGACTGAACCTTACCAGAGCAACTCCAAAACGCCGTCATTAACTCCTGAGATTAGAGTGTACTTTTCATGCCCATATCTGAATCGATCTCGTAGCTTCTCACTTCATGCCCATATTCGCCCTGGATGAGATTAGTATCGAAGCAATCGGTTATAGCAATGCATTGCTGGGCTGCATACTGGTCCAGGCCCAGGTAATCTGCCGCGGCCAACAGTTCGAGGCAGAGCTCGACCGGGATCTCCATGTCGGGAACATCCTCGCTGTTACGATAGCGGTACCAGTAGTGGAAGTATTCGACAACCTTATCAAGGACCATGGCGCTGTTGATAGAATCATCATCAGCGTCTAGCTCTTCCAGGGTTGAAATGGTTCAGCAGAGACAAGGCACGACCGGAGTTGGTATGCGTGTGGTCAGGTCAAGTGTAGTGAGTAGTCATGTAGCCCAACTGAGAGATCTCGGTTGTTCTGTCTGGAAAGCATGATGAGATGTCATCAATCCACGGAGCAGGCCATCTGGAGAAGATGGCATGTCGATGATGTTAACCTACCTCATCTCTTGGAAGACACAACGGGCCTCTTTAGCTTCAGCGAACTGACTTCTCACGTCGAGCATGCCCTTGATGATTGGACTGACAAGAGCAGCATCGCGTAGAACGACAAACTCGAAACCATCGCCAGAAACGAGGGTGATGTATTTGCTGGGTGTCTTCCAGTCCATGGCTGGATGTCTTTTGCTGCCTTGTTGACGACAAGATTACAAAAGAAAACAAAAGAAGAAAGAAAGAAGGAAGGGAGACGAGAATCTGTTGAGAGGAGAGGAAGAAATAGGCAGAGACTGAATGGATACGGAGCAAACACGCGCTAGCTTTGGTAGGTAGTTAGTCGTGAACAAAGATGGAAGCGAGAAAGTGAGTCACCTTGGCTGGGAAATTTTCTCGTGAGCAAGCACGTGCACGGACCAATCATCTCCGTCATTTTCAGCTCCGATGCATGATTGAAGTAAGGTAACCCCCCGGATAAAGATAGCAGTTGCCCCGTCAACATGTTTACTCGGGTAACTTGGTGGTGCAACAAAGCCACACTTGAGACTTGACTCCCCATAGTCCTTCCACTCTTTGGTCTTGAAGCGACTAAGTTTAAACTTGCAGCAAACAAACAACTCAAAAACCGAGTCAACACAGGCAAAGGAGTCTCTAACAGACAAGAAATCATCTTTCAAACGATCCCTCTGAGCCCCAAACATCTCAACTCGACTCAATTAGGCCCTCAAAATCGTCTTCCTCTTGGTCTTTATCTCGTCCTCGCCCTCCTCCTCCACATCACTCATCTCCCCCGTTTGCTCCATCGCATTAAACGCTCGATTGCTTTGTCTCTCTTCCACCCCGCACCATCACGAGCACTATACAGCCGAACATTCTTCATTCCTTAGAAGCGCATTCTTAAGGCCATCTCTACCAAACCAAAAGGCCAAGCAATCTAAAAGACTCGCGCTTGAGCCTGCACTCCCGACCCTGCAGCACAGCCTTGCGCCCAAGCATGGCATCATCGCATCAGTATCGTACTTCGTACTTTGACACCAACGAGCAGATTCGACGTCAACAGCGCACGCGCTCCAGTGAGGGTACCGTCAGCACCACTATGAGCTCGTCGACGGGCCGCGAGTCGGCAGCGACTCACGTCACAGAAGCGCCCACCTTTTCCAAGAAGATTGTTGTCGTCGGTGATGGTGGTTGCGGCAAGACCTGCTTGCTTATTAGCTACAGCCAAGGTTACTTCCCAGAGGTAAGCAGCCGTCTCTAGCTACTCTCAGCGTACCGACACTAACAATCACAGAAATATGTGCCTACTGTCTTTGAGAACTACATCACCTATCCTATCCACTCAGCCACCGGTAAGACTGTGGAACTTGCATTGTGGGATACAGCCGGCCAAGAGGAATATGACCGTCTCCGACCGCTCTCATACCCTGAGACCGACTTGATCTTTGTATGCTTTGCTATCGATTGTCCGAACTCGCTAGACAACGTTCTTGATAAGGTATGATTAGATCTTTGTCCTTCTCAGCGCATCTTGTACTAATCACTTTTCTATAGTGGTACCCCGAGGTTCTACACTTCTGCCCATACACTCCCCTTGTCCTTGTGGGTCTCAAGTCAGATCTTCGCTACAAGAAGACTTGCATTGATATGCTCAAGACGCAAGGTCTTACTCCAGTCACCACGGAGCAAGGTATGACCGTTGCCAAGAAGATGAGCGCGCAGTATATGGAGTGCAGTAGCAAGGAAATGTCAGGCGTCGACGAGATTTTTGAGCAGGCTATCAACACTGTCGTCGCTAATGACCGGAAAACCATCGAGGCGGCAGCAGCCTCGGGTTCTTCCAAGGAGAGCAAGTCATCAACACCTGGGGTGGGACAGATTAAGAGGAAGAAGAGAAGGTGTCCAATCCTCTAAAGGCGCTCACGGCTAGAGATGGATGAAAGATTGTTTTCTTGGATTGGGGAACTTTTCTACTCATCATCATTGTCTTGCAAAGCCTCCCTTGCCATCTTCTCCTGGGGAGGGGAGGCCAGGAGGGCCACATGAAGAAAAGGCAGCTCGATGGGCCAGCATTAAAAGAGTTGTAATGACCATCGCATGAACATTGTTTCTTATAACGATTCACATTTACGTTATTTCTTTACCTTCATTGCTGTTTTAACACTGATAAGGAACTCACTCGTGGTAGGTAAACAGGCCCAGAGAGAGGACATCGCAGGCGTTCACCTACACAAGAGATGTATCTCGGAGGGATAGGGGGACATAGTTCGGGATCGAAAGTATGGCATGGCATGGGAGGAAGCGCGCACATTTGTATTTGCTTTATTTATTATCTGAAAGTGACTTATGAGATAGGGGAGCAACTAGAGTTGCAGGCTGTTTTTTTATATGTATCCTACCGTTGGCACCGGGCAAGTTGAGGTGCCGGGTGTTTTGATGGCCTTCCTTTTGTTAGTGTTTTGGCGTGCGGTTGTACTGAGTTTGATAGGATTGCTGGAATCAAAGTTTACAACTAAATGAGTCCCTTGCCTTGGCTGTGATGTATGTTATAGATAAGTCCCATGATAGATTTGCAAGTCATCAGTTCAGTGAACAAACAACGAGCTAAACTTTCGATTGCAAACTTCGGCTTGTGAACTCTGATAAATAAACATTCGCCACAACGGCACCGGTGAGATTAACAGTCAGTTCATGATTTCAATCTTTCTTTGTTTATTTTGCCATTCCATGACCACATTGTGACTATCTTTTGCACAGGCCAGTTTCACATGCTTCATCATCATCATAGCTGGGTTGCCAGCTTAGGTACCTATTCATTTTTACCTCTGGACATTATGGATCATGACCTGAAAAGACCCTCTTAGGTCGACTATACCGCCCAGTTGCCCCCACTGTTATACATGTACGTCTTGTTATTTATGTACAAATGTCCCAGCTCTTTTGAAACTTTTCTCCTGTCCAAGCATCTGTAACCATCATACAAGTTGAAAAAAATGACCATCATGAGGGGAGCATTATACATAGAGCCAACGCCAACCGATATAACCTCGTCTAAAAATACACGCAAAATGCGATTGAGCGTGGAGATGTCATCAAAACACACATCTCCGTCATTATGGGAGAACGATATGCTTATTTGTTCTTGACAACACCGACCTTGGCGGCGCGCAGCACCCGGCCGTTAAGCTTGAAGCCCTTCTGTTGAACGAAGAAAACGGTGCCGTCCTCCTTATCGGGCTGGGGGGTCATAAAAGTGGCCTCCTGCTCGTTGGGGTTGAACTTCTCGCCCTCGGGATTGAGTCGCTCGAGACCATGTTTCTTAAGGGTATTCATGAGGATATCTTCAGTCATCTTGAGGCCCTCATACAGATTGGCGAGATCCTCGAGGCCTTCAGGTCGGTCTGGGGCGTTGAGCTTATCCTTGGGAACCATTCCAAGGGCGCGGTCGAGGTTGTCGACGCTATCGACGAGATCCTTGGCGAATTTTTGGATGGCAAAATCTTTAGCGGCCTTGACCTCACGTGTGGTGCGCTCTTGGAGGTTGCGGAAATCGGCGACGGTGCGCATACACTTATCCTGCAAGAGCGTCAGTCAGTTTTCCAATGTCAAATTGTCTCTTTAGTTATCACAAACCTTCCAGTCCTTAACCTCGTTCTCCTTGGCTGCAAGCTCCTTCTTGAGCTCAGCCAGAGGATCGTTTTCTTTCTCGCCCTCAGCGGGCTTTTCCTCGGCTTTGGCCTCCTCAGCAGGCTTGGTCTCAGTCTCCTTGGCGTCACTGTACCATCTCGACACGGCAGGCTGAACGGATCTGAGAGAAAAGGCGGGCGCGGCCTGGAATTGCGACTGAATAAAAGGTCGGGGGACGGCGACCTTGGGAGCAGCTCGCAGAGCGCGGGATGAGGTCGCAATGGCCTGTCGGAACATTTTGAGGGTATATGAGGAATTGGATTATAGAATTTGGTAGGAACAAAGTAAATGACGAGGAAGGCTCGATGGAGATAGGCTGATGGACTTAAGTAAGTAAGTGTACAGTGGCTGTGGTGGGTAGGTAGGTATCAGGAAGTTTGGAAGCTCCGAGTTAGGACTGAAATTTTAGCTGTCGGCATGATTGATTCGCTTCGCATTTAGAAGGGTCGCGCCGGCTTCTCTCCCGGGGACGGGAAGCTTCCATTCGGCGGGCAAGGGCCACATAGGATCATATGCATGCCTAAAGTACTAACCCTGGAAGCACTGTACCTATGTACGGATCAACAAAAACCCGTCACTGCATCATTGATCCAATGCTGCCCTGGGCTGTTTCCTCATGAGGCTGTAGGATCCACTCTTTTACTGGCCTACGTCGTGCTCTGGCAACCTGGAGGCTAAGGTTAGGTAGCTGTTCGCTATGGTATTGCTTCGGCATCCATACCTCTAGAGAACCAAACAACTTCAAGATAACGACCACTACTCTTCAGCGCCCCCAACGTCAAGTCTCCGCCTTCATAGCGCATATCCACTCACCCACGATCATATTCAGCGACACGTGTAAACACATCTTTCACAATGGCGGCGGCCGAATCAGCGAGGGTTCAGGAAGCGCAGAAGCTCGCCAAGTCTGACCCTCGAAAGGCTGAGGCCATCTACAAGGACATCATCTCCAAGGCTCCCAGCACCACATCCGATGCTGCCACTCGCGAGTACGAGACTGCTCTGATCAGTTTAGGAGAGCTGTATCGAGATGAGAAGTGCGCAGTCTTCAACACCGCTGTTCCTATACCCCGCTAACAAATCCGACAGGAATACCCAAGAGTTGGTGACCTTGGTCAAGGAGAGCAGAACCGTGTTCTCTTCTTTCGCAAAGGCCAAGTCAGCAAAGCTTGGTATGTTATTAGCACCACATGATTCTGCCTCGAAGTGTAACAGCTAGCTAACGCGGCGATGTAGTCCGTCAACTGCTCGACCTCATCAAGGAAATCCCCGATAGCACCGATATCGAAATCTCCGTCACCAAGGACTGTATAGAATGGGCCACCGCCGAGCGCCGCGCGTTTCAGCGACAGGACCTTGAGGTCCGCCTCGTCACTCTCCAGATGGCAAAGCAATCCTACTACGAAGCCCTCGGGCTCATTAACAACCTTCTTCGCGAGCTCAAGCGCCTGGATGACAAGCTCCGACTCGTCGAAGTTCAGCTCCTCGAGTC